CCCGCCGCCCCGGGTTCTCCCCCCCCGCGATCCTGCGATACCGGTTGAAGATGCAATTGGCTGAGGAAGGGAGAGCGCTGCCCGGCCGCCTGCCATCGCCCCGGCCAGGAAATGGGCGCTAATGGGCCGCCGGCGGGGATGCCTTTTTTTTTTCTTTTTTTTTTTTCCTGTGATCGCTGAGGGAACACGTACCCGCAAGGGAAATTTCCCTTCGGGGTGTTAAAAATGACTTGATTGCCCCGAGGAGGCTGGTGATGCTGGGGGTGAGGTGGCGGGGCTGGGCAGCAGCATCTCCGTGTTCCCAGGGGTCGTCTCGGGGGACGGCGCTGGACGTGAGCCCCGCTCCATCCCACCCTACCCAGCATAACCACTGGGCGCTCCTCTCTCCCTTCCACCGGCTTCCAGAGGAGGTCCCCAGAAATGCTCGTCCTTCTTTCAGAAAGCATGGGACAGCGTGAGTTAGGCAGCAACATCATTAGAAAACGCCTGAGTGCCCCAATCCTGAACACTGACCCTCGCCCAGGGGTGGATGCTGCCAGAGGCCTTAAGTACCCGCGGGAGAGCCGGCCTCTGACCAGCGAAGGGGCTACATGCCGGGGTGGCCCTTTTGCAGATCTTCCATCTCCCTCTTCCTCGTGTTTCCCTGTCCTCAAGTTTTCTTTAGTAGGGTGTGGATAAAAGAGAGACACCTCGATCTGCTGGTCAGCACAGGCTTCTCAGGGTGGGTGAGAGGAAAGGGCAACTCCTCACACGAGGAGGGATGGCCGGAGTCTGCCGGAGCCCTCTGCACCAGACAGCCGCGTCTCCCGCTGCGCTGTACGGCCTAGTGCAGGTTTCCCCATGTACTGGTTGCCTGCGAGGATGACGAGTGAGTCCCGCAGGGGTCGGGGTGGCCGAAGCACAGCGGCAGGCAGGGGGCCGAGCAGGAGCAGGGCTGGGCTTGCTCGGGGCTTGGCTGAGGGGGACCTGCTCCCGCTGGGGCTTTCCAACAAGTGTGATGCTGTCAGGTGCAGCCAGGTGAAAGCCTCCGTGTGACATTAGGGTTTCCTACTTGCACACCTCAGGGGGGGTCTTCATAGGACTTAGGTCAGGCCTTGGCAAGTGAGGGTGCAATCTGCCTGGACTCCAGGGACCATCTTTTATTCAGGGTGCAATAAAACCTCCAGCTTCCCTGACTTCTGGTACATTTGAAGATTCAGCAATGGGAGTCAGGTGAAGGGACAGGGGAGGAGAGGTCAGTGAAGACATACTGCCTGAATATTTGATCTCACATAGGTTTTGCGGGCTGCCGTCGTGCCTGAAAGCATGGCTGCACTTCATGTGCGAAGGCAGCCTGCAAAGTGCTTCCCCTCCACCCCATCTGTCCGAGCCGCTGCTGGGCTTTGCCAAATCCCCTCTGCTGCGTCAGGCCAACATTGTGTCCGGGTGTCCCTGCTGAAAATGAGATCCCTGGGGCAAAATTTCTTTCTGATCCCATTGCTTCATGGCAGTTTTATTCCTCGAAGCATAAAGACAGTCTCATGGTAATGTAAATCTATGCCATTTTCCTTCTTCATTTCTTTAAACCTTTATCTAAATTATTTTTGAGCTCTTGGGCCAGTGACCTATTTTGGCAGTACAACATACAGGGCATACAGTCATATAAAATGAATTGAACTTCGAGTAATTTAAAATATATCACACTGGTTGCATTGATTTAATCCACTCTATTGGAAAGACAGATGTTAATAATGAAATTGAAATCCAGGACTGGAGTTCTTCCCAAATATTGGCAGTTTTGGCTTTACAGTATAGGTCAAGTGTTCAGTCCTGGGACAAGAAGCGAGTGTTTGTTTTCAGCATCAATAATTAACAGCAAAAAGCTTTCAGATGCCTTCTTTTTAAAGGGAAAATTATAAAAAGTCTAGAGGTTGTTTTATTTTAATATAAACTGCACTTCAAGAAATACAGTGACACATATGACAAAATGCCCAGTATTAAGAGAGCATTTAATCAGGTTTATAAAAACCCTATTTATCTGAAAGCCAGCTGGTTCCTCTCTCCCTGAGAGCTCATTGCAAGCAACACTTTCTCCCGCTGTGCTGCAGACATCCCCTCTGCAAGGGAGGAGGCTTCTCTTAAGGAGAAATGCATGGGGGTGTGAGATGGCAGCAGTGGGTGAGCGCTTTGGGCAGGGTGGGAGCCTGCTGGCAGGGCAGCAGAGCAGAGGGCAGGGGGGATTTTCGGGGCAGGCTCCCTGCTAGCAGCCTGCGAAGGAGTGTGGCCGTGGCAAGTAGCACTGTCAGGGCTGGTGCTGGGGACCGCCGGGTGCAGCCCCATCAACAAGTGACTGCAGAGAGAGTCACTTGACTTAAAGGAGTACCAATGACAGCTTATTATTGATTAGCAGCCAGTCTGACCAAATTTAGCCTTGATGCTTGGCTCCTCTGAGTCCCCCCAGCATCTGCCTGCCTCCCAGCACCCCAAATGCAATGGGGGATGAGCTTCAGCAGATCTCTTCTTCTCTTGGGGATGGGGTTTGAAGAGGATGCTGCGATGAGCCGGTGGTGGGTCCCGGGCTTCAGTACTTGGGCATCAGTGCAAGGCTTCAGCAGTGGAGCTGTTTTTGCGGAGTGGGAGCAAAGGGGTGCGCCCTGCCCGCCTCTTCTGCAGGGATGCTGATTTGGTCGCTAACTCAGAGTAACTTTACAGGAAAGCCAGATTGGAGTGCTAATCCTGAGATTACTTACCTTGGCATATTCATGATGTATTTTCCTAACAAAGCTTTTTATTGAAATCCTGTTCAACCACATTCAGATGAGGCTAATGATACACCGCTCTGGGTTACAGGTGTTTTGTCCATAATGTTGCTTTTCTGGTTTTATTTTTCTGTGCTTGTCAAACAGCAGTTCTAGGAAACACAAATGTATCAAGCAATATAGTACAGGCTGTAAGAAATTCATTTTTCCTGGTTTAATTACAAAGTGCCCGTAAACTAGCAGGCTCTGGGAATGATTTACAAGCTTTGTAAGAGATTTGGTTCACCATACCTACGGTGCTATAGACACCTGCAGATTTTTATTGCTACATGCTACGTATATTAAATTTTCCCTTCTCTTCCCTTTGCTTATTTCCACTATTTTAAGGTTGGTTTTGTTTTTTTTTTCTTTGCCGTCTGAGAGTCTCTCAAGTTTGTCTGGAAGGCCTGATTTCTCTTTCTGGTGTCATTAATAATGGAACAAAACCACATTAACAGTTGCAACAACAGCCAGATAGGAGCCAGAAAGCTCCTTTTGCTCTCTAATATGCTGCATGAGTACTCTGAAATGCTTTATACAGAGGGTTTGCTTTTTTTTTTTTCCTCACTCTTTTCCTTTGATGTCTTTTTGGACTCAAAAAATGCTTGACCTTGTCTTTTGCTGAAGAAAAGCTAAAAAACACCAGAGTTAAAAATTCACAGAGATTCCAGACCTGCAATAGCACTTTAGAGGTAATTTCATCCTGCAAGAAACCGTGGGAGAAAATTCAGCAAAGCAATGTTAGCAGGGACTGCAGGGCATTGCATCTGAAGGGTCAGAGGGCTGCGGAGGCTGCTCACCACTGCCTTGAGATGCTTTTGGTGGATGCAGTGAGCTGGCAAACAGCTGGCAGAGAGCAGGGAACAGCCGCAGGTTTCTGAACCGGCAACAGAAAGGTACACCAGGCACAGGTACAGAAGAAAAAGAGGTAACATCCTGCTGGACCCCCCTCTTTCACATGAAGTTGGTGGTCCAGGCTTACTTTATTCTGATCTTCTGGAAGCGAAAAGAACATCCCTTGGGAGGTCTCAGTGGGTAAAAACATTCCTTCCATCTATATAAGATGAAAAAAAGTCTTTTTCAGGATCTGGAGTAGAACCTGGCCAAATCTGCACTTTGTTTGTCAGTGGTTTCTTTTTGCCTTTTATTTTTTTGGCAGAGGCACAGTGCAAAAAGCCCTTCTCTTACCCCAAATCAATCAATACCTGTAAGAGGAGAAACCATGGGCAGTCTGATCTGTCAGCATTCCTCCCCTTTTTAAGCTATCTAGCCTGCCTGAGTCTCCTTGTGGTTTTGGTCTGTGGTTTTGGGGGTTAGGAAAATAGAGGAAAAAATGAAATGAAGTGAAACTCAACCTTGAAAGATGCAGAAATGTATATTTGAGGATGCACAGATACTTAGTAGAAGGGAGACATTTGGAAACAGCTTTTATCAAATGGGAGGTACTCAAAGCACACCTTTGAGTGGGGATAGCCGGGTGATTGCATTCACCCCCGAGGCACTGTTCAGTGTCAGAAATGAAACAGACTTTCACTACGTGGCATTAAAACTCTTCCAAGATGTTACGTCTTCCTTCTGTATTTACAGAGAGTGCAATACCTCCATTTTCTTTCAACGGGAAACCAAAGCATGAAGTTGCTTTTTTCTAGGAAGCTTATGGCAAAACAGAGAAAAATAAATCCTCGCTTTCTTGAGCCTCTGAGGTGGCCTTTATCCCTCCCAGAAGGTGTGGCAAGAGCACGGGGCACAGCCAGCACAGGGACAGTGGCTGCAGGCTTGCATGGTATCAGGACCCATTATATGACCACTGCAATTCATTGAGCTCTTCATTACCGTTTTTCTCTCTCTCTGTCTTCCTTCCTCCTCCTTTGGCCAGTTCATCATGCTCAATGCACCTGCCTGCAGCGGATGCCTAAGGCTCTGGGGCATTGGTTGTCAACACCAGCTGCAATTCTTGTGCCACAAGCAATGCCAAGAAAAAGCGCTTGACACAGAGAAGCAGCTATGGCACCAATCAGGGCAGGTGTGAGAGCCATGAAAACTTACTCAAATCCTGCAAAATTAGAAGTAAATCTTGTAGGAGCTGGCTACAACGGCTTTCTGGTATGGCTCTGCCATCACGATCTTCCCAGAGACTGAAGGAAGACGATGATTGCATCCGCACCTCACTTTTACTACAACTACTAGGTTGGGATTTCCAGCCTGGCACAGTCAGTGCGGGTCTCCGGGGACCTCGGAGACGCTATGTCTAGGGACACAGGCAGGCTGGCTGTCCCAGAAAGCTGTATTTGTGTCACTTGAAGGCTTGTTTCTCAGATT